AAACAAAACTACAAGAACCTATGGGACTAGATACAGCAAAATCGCCTTATTTATTGAGAAATTTCTAATTGGTGATTTGATGAAAACAAATAACCTAAAAAGAGTTTGGAACAGTTTTGACTTCTGAAGATGTGTAGGTGTCTAAATCTGTTTGGCTTACACAACCTCATATGCAATTGGATGTGATAAACTGATATTAATATACCTCTGAACTCAATTTGAGCAAGGAGAGGTTTATGATTTAAACATTGATGTATGAAAATGGAATACGAGCAAATTCTTCTTTTATGAAAACAACTATAAAATGTTTAGTCATCTTTTTGGACGTACTATATGCACTCTTGTACTCTTACATTCTGAGGTTAACTAATGCAATCCTCAAAGAATGTTAAACTTTTCTTAGTCTTTTGTTCAGGGTTCAAGACCCCATTAGGACTTATTCAAGTTTTTTTTAATTTTGTATTAGCTTTGCTTGGAGTAACATGTATTAGCTTTGCTTTAATTCCATAACAATGCTACGGCTGAAGATTCAAATAAACCAAATATACCAGAAATTGGTGCGTGATCCTTACCTGAGTTGGGGGATCTCGAGAGAGAACTCGAGGGAGATCAGCCGTGGTCGGATATAGAAGCTCACGAGCAAGTTGCAGCAGGCTAATACAATCTCCAACCTGAAAAGGGATACATTCTCGTCGGATGAGTTGGGGGAAGTCGGCGGAGGAAGGGGAAGTCGCCGGAGGAGGGGGAAGTTAGCGGAGTTGGACGAGTTCACTTAGAGAGCTTGAGGGAGATCGACGGAGTTCACTTAGAGATGGGGGGTGATGTTGGGAGGGAGGCGGAGTTGGTGAAGTCGTCGGAGTTGGCGGATTTGGGGGAGCTCGAGGGAAGTCGACGGAGGAGGGATTTTGGGGCTTGATGGAGGAGGAGGATTATGGATTTGGGACGGGGTCCTTTTTTTGGAGAGAGAGAGAGAGAGAGAGAGAGAGAGAGAGGAAGGATTAGGCTGTTGTCCAAAGACAGGCGATTTTTGCAAAAAAACCCAGGAGCCGTGGAACTGCGTACGCACTTATCCGTATGAGATCGGCGCTGTATATATATATATATATATATATTTTTCTTTCTTTGATTGGTTCTGCTGAAATTGGTGACTATGGAGATGGGGATTTGGATTCTGGGTGTAGATTGATTGTTGTTGAAGCACCACTATTTGTGTACTAAAAATTGTAGTCAGGTTATTGTGTTTCTTTTCCTTTGACTATTTGAGTAGCTGACAGAAAATTGTTGTCAATTTTAGTTTGTAGATTACATCTGTTTTAGGCATTTCTACGACTGCAACTAAATTTTATAGTCAGGTTATTCTTTGTTATATATTTTATTCTGCTGATATTCTAATATCTTGGTCAGTTGGATTGTGCTCAGAACTCTTTTGCAGTTGAATCACTCATTTCCTGTGTTTGCAGGACTGTTGTTTACAAAGGACAACTGAAGCCAGTTCAGTTGAAGAATTACTATTATGCTGATCTTGGTGATGAAAGGTTCACAAGTTATATGGCACTGGTAAATACTCTTACATTCTTCTTAATGCACAGTCTGCATTTAACAGCAAGCTGCTTGGAGAAGTCTCTCGTAGCAGAACAAAAGTAAGGTTAAGTAATGAGGTTAAAGGCATCCAAGTTTGTATTCCTTCTGTTCTGCTGTATTGAATATTATTTGAATTTGGGTATGGATGCCTTGGGTAAGTCGGTGAAAGGTCTCAATAGTTGATGAATAATAAACGTGTTGCAGAATCCCGTTGCACTGTTCACTGTGGTCTGTACTTCAGGAAGCTTCCAATACGGAGGTGGAAAGAGAATAATATATAGTAAGGTAGCTTAGGGCTTCCACATTACTTTGTATTGGCACTGATGATAGGCAGAATCCCTAGTTCATTTTAAGTGCCTTGATGCAAAATGATCTTGGATATTCAGATGAATTTTTAATTGGCATGAAAGCTAAAGATATAAGAAATTATTGGACAGATTATTGAGTTGCTTTGCTCTTATGCGGGTACACTCTAGGTTCTCAACAAATACCTTTCCTAGCTGGGATCGTGCTCAGCCCATGCGCATCTTGGGTCACAACGGAGAGATTAACACACTTCGAGGCAATGTTAACTGGTAAAGTTTTTAGGCACTGAAAACATATTTGCAGAGATAACTGCCTGATAAATAATTGAATCTCATTTCTTTTCTCAGGATGAAGGCGCGTGAGGGTCTTCTAAAGTGCAAAGAGCTGGGATTGTCAAAGGATGAGATGAAGAAACTTTTACCCATTGTTGATGCTAGCTCTTCTGATTCTGGTGGGTTCACTTAAATATTTTTGTGAATAAAGTCCTACAGGTTACATTTAAATACAGGCTGTAATCCATATGTTTTTTTTTTCTTTCATGGTATGAGAACTTGTTGTCCTTTTGTGTACAAACTACTACATGTAAGCCACAGTATGTGTATCATTAGTGTCAGCTTGCCGTTATGCTTTTTCTTTTCTAACGGGAAAAGAGGGACAGGAACAGAGACACAATTCATGTTATTAATAGAAAATGCGAGGAAGGAAAAAATTAACGCACATGTATTAAATACCTTATCTGATATATGTGATGCAAGTAACAGACATGATAAGATGTTAAATACCTTATATGATATTCAGACCGATGAAGATGGTCGATGATGCAGGCATAATTCTTGCTCCATATTTGAACATACAGAACCCTGTGTAGTGTTCTTTGAGTATACTGATATTTATTATCTCACCATAACACAAACATTGCGTCAACAATGGTTGTTTTGTTTGTTTCCTGTTGCAATGTTTCAGTTATTAAATCTTAATTACATTTTGTTGGATTCACTTGTATTAAATTAATTGGAAGAATGCACTCTAATCCCCTTCTTTTTTGGTGCAGTGTCTTATCTGTAGAAAAAGGAAATGAATCCCGCCTTAAGCGGATGATATATAACTTGATCCCTGTAGGTAATTGTGTTGGCTGTTTTCCTTTATAAATTCAGTTCTCGAGTTTTCTTATGAGCGAGGACTTTGACAAGTTGTGTTTTGTTTTATTTGTTCCCTCTTATTGAACTACATCCCCATTTAGGATTTATGTTGCATGTTTAATCTGGATTTATTGAGTTTGATTTGTGTCATCTCTGCGCAGATGGGTCAAAAGTTGAGGATGTGAAGAAGCCTGTCAATCCAATTTCCTTCCTCTTGCGTTTCATTTTGGGTACCAACGCCGCAACCTACTATGTCCTGGTGCCCATTTACATGTGGATTAAGGATCAGATATTCCCCAAGGGTATGCCAATATGAAGAGAGCACTGGCAAAGCAAAGAGAGATGACATTTATGTATTCATTCAGAACTAGTAGCGGCTTCTTTGTCCAGATTTTTGTATGAAAATCTATTATGATTCAACTGATGGACAAATTTTTTAATGTTACCAAGTGAATGCATCCGCTCGCTTATGGTGTTCTTTTGAAGTATTTATATATGTAACACTTTCTTAAGGGAATTATGTGCTTAACGCAACACTTTCTTGATATCTCAACAATTCATAATTTGGACGCTTATGAAAGTTCAATGCCTTCATTTTCTTCAGAATTACATCTATTTGGTATTGTGTTCTTGATATAACTATGATATGTTAATTACTTAATTTATTAACTTAGGTATGACACTTACCAGCTTGTTTGAACACTTACCAGCTGACATTACTTACAACAGCATGTTGCCTGGGACACTTACCAGTTTGTTTGAACACTTACCACGGCATGTTTGAACAGTTACCAGCTGACACATTACTTACAAGAAAAGGAGTTGCATTATTTGAAGGATACAATAAGCAGATAAAGCTGATTGATACAAATCTCAAAACTTATCAAATAATCAACAATTTGTTCGCTCTGAACTGACACTGATGATTACATTTGAAACAGTCAACAATCTACAACTCCACAATCCAAATCTGTTCACAAATCTCATGACACTGATGATTACATTTGAAACAATCAACAACAATCATAACAATAGGAAACAAACTTAAATTTTTTTGAAACGTGTACAATCATCTTCATCTATGTTTCTTCTTTTATAACCCAATCAAATCTTACCTGTACCTCTCAATAAAATTGTGTTAAAAAAGAAACTGTCTTCTAAAATTTGGGGTTTATTTAAGGGATCTTAGATACGTACCGGTCTAGTTAAAATATCTCGCTGAAAAAGATTTTTCCAACTATTAAGATATTTTTGGATCAATTAAGGTAATAATAATATTTAATCTCTAATAACAAAATTATTGTATCGCTTCTCTCATTCTCTCTCCTCAACGCACAAAATATATGCTCCTTCTCCTCTCATCTTCTCTCATTCGCTCACCTCCGGTTCCGCTTCGATCGGACTCCAGTCTCTCATTCGTTGATTGATACAAATCGCAGCGGCGGAGTTGTCCGGAGTTCTCAGGCGACGGTGGTGTCGTGGAGGAGTTGGGGGGGCGACAA